TGAATTGCTGTGGTTATTTGGGGTCTTTTGTGGTTCCATAAATATTTTAGAATTATTTATTCTAGTTCTGTGAAAAATGCTATTGAGATTTTGACAAGGATGGCTTTGATAGTATAAACATTTTAACGATATTAATTCTTACAATCCATAAGCATGAAATATTTTTCCATTTGTGTCATCTTCAATTTCTTTCATCAAAGTTTTATAGTTTTCAGAGTACAGGTTTTTCACTTCCTTTGTTAAGTTTATTCCTAAGTATTTTATTTTATTTTTTGGTGCCAGAGCAAATTAAGTTGTTTTCTTTTCTTTTTTCTTTTTTTTTTTCAAATAAAATTTATTTATTTATTTTGAGGAGGGGAGGGGCAGACAGAGGGGGAGAAAGAGAGAATCTCAAGCTCTCCATCTCTGTGCACTGTCAGCACAGAGCCTAATATGGAGCTCAAACTCATGAACTGCAAGATCATGACCTGAACCAAAATCAAGAGTCGGATGCTTAACCAACTGAGCCACCCAGGTACTCCCAGACATCCATATTTTTAAAAAATATTTTTTAAATTAAATTCAGGAATAGAATTTAGCGACTCATTACTTACATATAACACCCAATGCTCATCCCAACAAGTGCCCTCCTTAATGCTCATCACCCATTTAGCCCATTCCCCCGCACAATGCCCCGCCAACAAACCCTCAGTTTGTTCTCTGTATTGAAGAGTCTCTTATGGTTTGTCTTCCTCTCTGTTTTTATCTTATTTTTGCTTCCCTTTCCCTATGTTCATCTGATTTGTTTTTTTTTTAAATTCCACGAGTGAAATCATATGATATTTGTCTTTCTCCGACTTATTTCACTTAGCATAATACACTCTAGTTCCATCCACGTTGTTGTAAATGGCAAAATTTCATTCTTTTGGATCACTGAGTAATATTCCATTGTATGTATGTATATATGTATAGGTATATATATATATATACACACACATATACCCCACATCTTCTTTATCCATTCATCAGTGGATGGACATCTGGGCTCTTTCCATACTTTGTCAATAGTGCTGTTATAAACACTGGGGTGCATGTGATCCTTAGAATCAGCATTTTTTGTATCCTTTGGGTAATACCTAGTAATGCAATTGCTGAATTATAGGGTAGTTCTATTTTTAATTTTTTGATGACCCCCCCATACTGTTTTCCAGAGTGTCTGCACCAGTTTGCATTCCCACCAGCAGTGCAAAGGGGTTCCTCTTTCTCCACATCCTTGCCAACATCTGTTGTTGCAGGAGTTGTTAATTTTAGCCATTCTGACAGGTATGAGGTGGCATCTCATTGTGGCTTTGATTTCTATTTCCCTGATGAGTGATGTTGAGCATCTCTTCATGTGTCTGTTGGCCATCTGGATGTCTTCTTTGGAAAAGTGTCTGTTCCTGTCTTTGGCCCATTTATTCATTGGGTTATTTGTTCTTTGGGTGTTGAGTTTGATATGCTCTTTATAGATTTTGGATACTAACCCTCTATCTGATATATCATTTGCAAACATCTTCTCCAATTCCGTCGGTTGCCTTTTAATTTTGCTGATTGTTTCCTTTGCTGTGAAGAAGCTTTTTATCTTGATCAGATCCCAATAGTTCATTTTTGCTTTTGTTTCCCTTGCCTCTGGAGAGACAGACATCCATATGTTTAATAAACTCTCAGGGTGATTCATCTGATGCAGGTGGTCAGCCTGCCACACTTTGAAAAATACTGCCATTGTTGAACCTCCTTTAGAAGTAAGCTTTAAGTTTTGGGTGCCTTGCTGGGCTAGGGGTAGGACACAATATCAGGGAAGCTAAAATGATAAGCAGAAAGCTTGCCATTGCACAGTAAACATTAAAGAGCCACCTTTTCAATCATTCTGCCCTGGGCATTCCCTGAAATGATGGATAAGTCTTCCTGTTTCTTCTCCAGGCATTATTCAACCTTCAAGTAGGGATAAAGAAAAAAAGGGGCAATGGTTCTCTAGTAGTCCCTTAGTACTTAATGATGTACCACCTTATACTGCTCCTAATTGTTTCATGTGTGTGTCTTATCTTCCAAGTAGGAGTATACCCACTGAGACTTCAAACTTCTCTTGTATTCCCCATAGCAACTACCACAGTACTTTAGTACATATAGCATAACAGGCACTTAAAAAACACTTCCTGCCTTGAGAAAATCCTGGCACTGGAATTGATCTTAGAAGTCCAACCTCTTAATGTATAAATGAAGAACCTGAAGTACAAAAAGGTTAGGTGGCTTGGCTAAACTCACACACACAGGTAATGGGAAATGTAATGAATTCAGGGAGGATGAGGTCCATCATGTGATCTGTCAGGTATGTATTAGAAACTGAATTGAAAACAACTGGCTATTTCCCAAGAGGCATTCTAGGCATGGGGAAATTAAGGCACAGAATAAAACTTCAACTGTAAGCTAAAAGGCCTCTGGAATCAGTGACTCTTTTCTTTGGGAGCTTTTGCTCTGTAAGGTCACTACTTGATAGCTTTGCAATTACTCCTATTGCAAATATAAGCTCCTTAGTGGCTGCACTGAACAACATGTAGTAATGCCCATCACCCACTTTCCCCTCCCTCCCACCCCCATCAACCCTTAGTTTATTCTCAGTTTAATGTTTTTCTAAATCAACTGACAACTTTCCTAAAGTAAGGCTGATCCTATCACTATTTCACTCTCAAATTCGAAAAGCATTTAATTTGAATTTCCTTTACAATCCACTGTAATGTTTGGAGAACTGTAAGAAATTTTCAGAGGGCTATTGTGGCTTGAGACCTGGGACAAATGAGCACTACAACCTGCCTCTCAGAAGACGGTCATTAGTTAACAGTGACTCTGCCAGCAGGCAATACAAGTTAGCAATTTCAGCTTCCACAAAAGTACTGGTTATATTTATTAAAAACCATCAACACCTGTTTGGCATAATGAAGTATTCTGTGAGTGTGTGTGTGTTAAAGCACCTCATAAACCTATATTAGAAAACTAGACAACCAGCCTAAGCGTTTATAGGTCCGAGGGAAATAGTTGGGTTCTATATGCTGGTATACCTTTGTTCTATTCTTTTTCTGAAATAACTTGACCATTTTGTGTCTTGGATTCTAGTCATGTACGTGCTTTTTAAAGATATACAATTTAAACTGGCTTCAAATTCAGAGTCACAATTTTTCAATATTTTACAATAAAGGCAGAGGGCAAAATCAAATACTACTACCAACTATAGCACCTACTATTTAATCTAGAAAGTCACATGCTTTCTAAACTGTAAATATATATTTTTTCTTTTCTTTTCTTTTCTTTTTTTTTTTTTTTTTAGAGACAGCGAGTGAGTAGGGGAAAGGGGCAGAGGGAGAGAGAGAGAATCTTAAGCAAGCTCCATGGTCAACGCAGAGCCTGACATGGGCTTGATCCTACTACCCTAGGATCATGACCTGAGCCAAAATCCAGAGCTGGATGCTTAATTGACTGAGCCACCCAGGCACCCCCCAAACCACATTCTTAATTGGATCTTAATTTATCACTGGCTAAAGATCCTGAGCCACTTCTGTTTTAATCAGTCTCCTCTCCTCATGTTTTTTGTTTTTTGTTTCTTGATTCCTTGCTTGCTTGTTTTGTTTTCAATCTTTAAACATATATCATTTTACACCTATTATAAGCAAGGCATTGTTAGATCCTAAGAATTTTTTTAAAAATTTTAATTCCAGTATAGTTAATATACAGTGCTATATTAGTTTCAAGTGTATAATACAGTTACCCAACAGTTCCATATATTACTCAGAGCTCATCAAGACAAGTGTAATCCTAATCCCCTTCACCTATTCCACTCATCCCTCCCCCCAACCACCTTCCCTCTGGAAACCCTATCTTTGTTCTCTTAAAAGACTGTTTCTTGGTTTGTCTCTTTTTATTTTTTCTTTTTTAAATTTGTTCTTTTTCTTAAATTCCACATGAGTGAAATCATACCATATTTGTCTTTCTCCTACTAACTTATTTTGCTTAGCATTATATTTTCTAGATCTATCCATGTTGTTGCAAATGGAAAGATTTCATTCTTTTTGATGTAGATGCTAAGAATTTTTAAAAAATTCAATGTAGGCCCTGCGTTTAGTGAGTTCACAGTCTAGTAGGGAAGACAAACACATAAATCAGGCATAGGGTGATCATTTAAAAAAAATTTTTTTTTTCAACATTTATTTATTTTTGGGACAGAGAGAGACAGAGCATGAATGGGGGAGGCCAGAGAGAGAGGGAGACACAGAATCGGAAACAGGCTCCAGGCTCTGAGCCATCAGCCCAGAGCCTGACGCGGGGCTCGAACTCACGGACTGCGAGATCGTGACCTGGCTGAAGTCGGACGCTTAACCGACTGCGCCACCCAGGCGCCCCTAGGGTGATCATTTTATAACAGAGCTATAAGTAGGCCACAGAAACCAGAGAGGACTTGGTGTTAACATCTGTTCACATTAACACTACATAACCAACACAGAATTGATTAACAAGAATTCTTAAAATATGTAAACACCTTGAAGCAAAATTCAGTGAATAATGGACCACGGGATCCAACAGGCCTACTAAAGGGAGGGAGGGCTGGGGCAGGAGAGCAGCTAGGCTGCTTCAGAATCAAACATTATCTAAGGATTTCTTTACTTTACATCATTCCCCTGACAAAGTTTTTCCGGAGAGAGGAGGAAGTGTCAGAAAATGGGTTTGGGTAAATTATCCTGATATCTACAGAGGCACCAATTATTCTGTCCGAGAAAAAACAAAAAACTATGACAGTAAAAAGATTACATTTGTGTTGAAATGCATCAAAAAGTATCAGTTAACAACAGTAATGATAAAAACCAAACAAAAATATCAGAAACCCATTGCCAAATGAATTAGTCAAAACTTAGACATTTCTAAAAGAGTGAATGAAAGATGGCAGTATTATGAAGGATTTACAGTTAACACATTATAAATGCATTTTCTTTTTGTAGTTGGACAAAGTCATGGAAAAACATAAAGAATCTCATAGACGAATCCTGGAACAGCTTTTAATGGCAGAAAAATCTCACAGGCAAACCATATTGGAGTTGGAGGAAGAAAAGAGAAAACATAAAGAATACATGGAGAAGAGTGATGAATTCATAAGCTTACTAGAACAGGAATGTGAAAGGTAAGGCCTCTTTGGACAAGACAAAGATCCACTCTACAAACTCTTACAACCTCTCACTATGGAGTTGGCATTTATACCAGGGATACAGGAATACAAGATGCATAGGACACAGCTTCTGCTCTGAAAGGTCTCACAGTCTAGAGTGAGGAAAGGGATATGTTTAAAGATAATTTCAATATAATGCAAGAATAACCAGCTATGATAAAAACTGTGGAAACATAAATGCTGGACACCTAATTCTGCAATGGAGTGCCCTGTGAAAGCTGCACAGAGGAGGTAACAGGGGTCTAGTCCTATGTAAACAAGAATGGAAACTATAGACCAGGGAGGGGCAGAAATAAGTATCACAGCATAGAGGTAAGAAAATCGTATGAAAAGTGAGGGAACTCAAGCTTTCTGGAAACATGGCTACAGCACAAGGTGTAATTTCAGGATGAGAAAAGCAAAGGCTAGCCACAAGCAGTTGGGTTTTATATTGTTGGCAAGAAGGCATAAATAAACTGTGAGAAGAATGAGTTGATCAGGTATGCTTTCTTAAAGAGCCATTGAGGCAATATGGAGTAAAGATAAGAACTTCAGACAGGGGGAAGATTTATATTCCCATGGTTATTGGGTTAGAGACATCAGGGTGTGAACAAGAAATATTTATGACGTATAGTCAATACTAATGAATGACTAATGAGACTGGAGAGCAGAGGAAGACATACACAGAGGTTTTTTTTTTTTTTTAATGTTTACTTATTTATTTAGAGAGAGAGGGAGAGTGTGTGCACGTGTACACAGTGGGGGAGAAGAAGAGAGAGAGGGAGAGAGAGAATCCCAAGCAGGCTCTGTGCTCAGCGTGGAGCCCCAGGTGGGGCTCGATCTCACGTTGAGATCACGACCTGAGCTGATATCAAGAGTCTGACTTAATTGACTGAGCCACCCAGGTGCCCTGAAATATAGGGAATTTTGAGAAACACTCCTGGCTATTCACCAAGGTACAAAATATAGAAATGGTGCACAGGTTTTTGTTGTTGCAGGATTTTGGTGAAGGAGACAGTTCAAAAGTGGGGGAATGAGCAGTCAAATAGCACCAAATAATACAAAAAAGGAGAAGAAAATGTCCCAGGATTGGCAACCAGGAAGACAGGAAAACTTAATGAGCCCTTTTAATAAAGTGAAGGCAGAAGCCAAATCACAATGCTTTGACAGATAAATAAGACATCAGAATGTAGAAGCTTAAAGTGTGAACTATTATTTTGAGAAGTTTGGCTGCAAAAAAGGAGATTGGTTGGTAAAAATTTTATAACCATATGAAGGGCAGATTATTTTGATCCATTTTGCCCGTCTGTTCTGAGCCACCTTAGAAAGTATGAGCCTCCATTTGAAATGGAAAGGACAATTAAGGCTCTATATTAATAATACAAAGATAGGAAATAACCAATCTTTGCAATGTCAAGTTTTTACTGAACTGTCCTTTCACTTTAGTTATTTCATGTGTACTTCATGATGCTGTATTCTAACAATCACAGAAAAATATAATTACTTATGAGCTCTCTATTCTAAAATATTAATAGTCTCAGCTACTTTATCTAACTACTTACAATTCATATTTTAGCTAGGTAAATGAAGTTACACAATAGCTAGGTTAATGGCAAACTTCCATTTCTTTTCAGTGTACATCATGGTAGACACTTGGTCAGATTCCCAGAGAATCCATGGCCCTCACACCCATTCACTTCTTTCCACATTCATCAGATTTGTTTCCTACTCACTACCTAGAAGGGGGTCTTGTTACCTTGCCCCTTATGAACTTGAAATATCTTGAGGGAAAGATAAAAGGAGTACGGAGAAGTCTGGCACCAAGGGAAGATTTGACTCAGACATTACAATATGAGATTTGTTATTCAATGAGACAATATTATATTAAATATTATTTCGAACCCCTGTGGTTTGGCACCCGTGGCCTCATTTGGCCTCCACACTTATTTGGCACTAACTTGCTGAACACAGACACTTCCTTTCATCTTTCATTTTTATGAAAATGTACTGACCATGGTTGAAGTGCTGTCTGCCATAGAACATAGAGGCACTGCTTGCTCCTGCCCAGGGGGCTTCCCACATTAACAGAGAAGGCAAGATGATGCAGATTTAGGGTAGGACTGTGGAGGGCTGTCTGAGGTACGGTTTTAAAATTCACTGTTGTATCTCAAGTATATTCTGGTGGAAGGCTTAGGAGAAGTTTTAACACTGTAATTCTGGGAGGCAGATGATGAAGATTATTTAAACCACAAGAGAGCAAAGAGAACAACACTGAGAAATGGGAACAAAAATTCAGTGGGAATAAAGGCCATGTGCTAGAGGAAAAGGAAAACAGTGAGGTGAATGTAAATTGTACACCATGGAATCAGTATATTAAGAATGCCATTTCTACATATATAGAAGGGGTTTAAGAGGAAGAATTTAAAAGATCATATATTTTAACCTTAGACACAAAGCTTCTCTGTCTTAAAGAATAATGAAAGTGAATATACCATTACCAAAAAATAGGAAAAAGTGACTGGAGTGACTCTTATTCCCTATGTAGCAGCCATTCCAGAAGATATGAGAATATTCACCTATTTCTGTTTGCCAAGGAACAGCTTCCAGATGGAACTCTTTGGATATGAGAATGTTAAACCTATTTTCAACTCACATGATATGCAGACAATTCTTCCCCTGCTTAGCATACCCAACAACACAACTCCCATATCCTGGCACTCTTGTGGCATTGGTGCTCCCTGCTCCCTTGCCTCCAACAGGGAGACCGTGGGTCTCAGGACTTATACCTGCTTTAAGGCCATGCGCATCAACATATTAAATGAAACCCACCTAACAAAACAGCAAGTGGGAGAACTCTAATAATTTCTGGTAAATATACACAGAGAAGGGGCTTACACAAGAGTGAAATACCACTCCTTTGTTTCATTCCCCAGTGACAAGTGACAAAACACGCGCAACATTACGGAGTCCTTCTAACTTCAGTGAGAGTACTTCCGCTGAGCACACAGCCACTCTTCACAAAAGCAAGACGAACTTGTCCTAAGGGGTCAAAGCGTAATGTTTACTTCCTACCTCAAAGTGATGGAAGCCACTCCCAAATCAGTGACCCTCAGGACACAGAAACAAAGAAAGATATAACCCCCATAAAAAGGGAGCTGGGTGAGGATAACCATAAAGGACTATTGGATTGAAACTCCAAAAAAAGCCACTGTGAATGTTTAGCACTTATTAATGTTGGATAATATCTACTTAGAAATAAAATAAAAATTAAGAAATACATGATTGAGATAAGTTAAAGAGACCGTAAAGGGTATCAAAATGGATTTCAAATTTACGTTCAATTTCTGTGTTTTCTCTGGAGAATTTGTTTTATGTGGAAAACCCTAAAGGAGACTGATATCACACAGTTTAGGCCAAAATGTTTGCCAAGTGATGTCTTTGTCTTAATCACTAAACAATTGGCTTTCCCACTGAGGGAGGGTGGGGGCAGGGATCAACTCAGGAAACCTTTCCCAAGCATGTTAATGCAAAGTTTCCTTTGCTGTAATCTGTACAACTTGGTCTATCCATAAGGTAATATTATATCCACATTTCATGACTACTTTCTGTTCACTGACCAGCTCCAACGTATGGATATGTGTGTCACCGATGACCTGAATTATGTACTTGGCTGAATTACAAGTGGAGTCTATGTGAAATGTTTCATACAAAAGCAATGCCAGTAATTTTTGACCTTTCTGGATGGCTTCACAGGAAAGCCAAAACAAAAATCACTTTTAGTCAGTACAGTTTTGCAAAATTTTCCCATAAGTGAAATGCCAAATTTGTCTGCACCTTCAAAAAAGCTTGCATAATTTCTTTTTCCTTTTTCAGTTTCAGTGGGGGAAAGGCTGTGAAGAAAAAAAAAAGTTTCCCTTTTTTTTGAAACCATGCATACTTTTTCAGAACACAAAACAAACCATGTATATTAACCATATGTATTACTGCATTTTGGGCCTTGAAGTAACCAGTAAAGTGAGAAACAAACATTGTTATGACAAGTCTGTATAAAAATGTGGCTTCCACCATGGATTTTTTTTTTAAAGCCTTAAATTACTTTTCATAATATCTTGGCCAAATAGGTTAGCATTGATACTATGACTTTATAAAGTAAGAGTTCAAATGGTAGCTTCTCAAAAGCCACATAGAAAGGAGTTACAGGTAGAATTAACTTCTTGTTCCTGTCCTGCCCAATGTTACTAGATAGAATAGTGGCTCAGTGGGCAGAGAGGCCTTTGAAGGAAAGTCATCAGGGACCCAGCCTCAAGGGTTGCTCCCTCGACCATACTTTGGGCTAAGTCTTTTGATGTTCGGGTTTTAGTAAAGAACAAAGCACTTCTACCTCTCCTTTGGCTGAGGGAACTTTATAAAGAAAAATTTCCATCATCAACCCTTCTCTACTATGACAGACCTATTTTGCTGATTGGCATCAGACAAGTGAATAAAAAGCTGAGCCATATTGACTTTCCTGTTAACTGAGGGTATTTGAGTACTTTTTAAAAGTTTATTTATTTAAGTAATCTCTACACCCAACATGGGACTCGAACTCAGGACCCCAAGATCAAGAATCACATAATCCTCCAAGTGAGCCAGCCAGGTGTCCCTGAATTTGACTACTTTTAAAGGCTGTTGTCAAAAACATCAAATCTTCCTTTCAGAGGCTTTGGATACTTCCTCAAAGATATGTAAATGCATGAGTATATTAATTTATACATTTTTAAAAAATTAAACTAGTTACCTAGTTAGGGCTGCATGCCATTCATTCATTTATTCACTCAAAAACAAAAAAATAACCCAAAACAACAATTAATTAAATGTCTGTTACATACAGGCCAGGTCCTGTGGAAGATACTCGGTGAAGGAGGTAGATGTGGCTTCTACCTATATAAAACCCTGACTAATTTGTGTATGTATAAAACCAAGACACTATTGAAGAC